ACGCAGGACGATGGTTTCGGGGATAGATTCTGGGTCCGAGGGGGTAGGTGGAGGCAGGAGAGCGGCTACTGAAACCGGGTCGTGGCACTGACAGTACGACCTAAATACGAATCTCCCTCCTCCTCCCCCTCTTCTTATCTCTGCCTCAGTGACGGAACCGCGATCGAGAACCGCCCTGTCATGTTGGCTTGGGACAGTTTCGAGAGGAACTTCCGAATTGCCTGCAGCTTCTGCACAAGAGAACAATGAGCAAAGAGAGGAGGAATTGGGAGGAGAACGGCGCGTGATCCATAAAGAGTGTTTTTCGAGACTCGATCTCTCTCGTGTAAAATTTAAATTTCGATCGTTTTTGGAATGTGAGCTTTTTCGAACTCTTTTTTTTCTTCTTCTTCTTTTTATCGTATTTGATTTTTTTGGAAATGGACGAATGGAATGAATGCGGTAATTTGGAAGACAAGATGCGGAAGACAAGACGTTGGAAAACTTGTTAATTGGACGTACTTCGAATGTTTCAAGTTCGACTCTTTATGATACTTTTGTATTAATTAATCCGCTTGTGATCAACAGTCGGTAAAGAGATCGAATCGAATTGTTAATGAATATCAAATAATAAATCTTCTTTGATGAAATTTAAGATTCGTTAGAATCGAATAGAATTAATTTGAATGTGAAAATTGACGAATTATTATTTTATTTTATCGAGGAACGACAAAAAAAAATATAAGGGTGCAAGGATACGTTAGTCCAGCCCTGTTCTTACATCATCCTCTTTATCTGCTGGCCGCTGGCTGCAACCTCTTACGTCACCGGCTGCGACCGAGGATGCACTTTTTCCCACTCTTCCAACCAATATCCACATACATTATACATATAAACACTATTTACCAATTTCTACTAATAAAATATCTACTAATAAAATATAGAAACTGTATTGTGTCGATCGTTGTTTATATTGGTTTTAATAATCCAATATTGCCAACTTAATAATCTATATTAATTGGAAAAATGAAACGCAAAGAAGATGTAGATACGAATCATCAAATGTCTAAAAAAAACTATACGTAATATTTATTCTTTGCCAAATATAAAGGAATTTACCGAATATTTTTAATAATTTTTTCCCAATAAATGGAAATGGATGTCATCGAATTGTTCATAACCTAAAAAACTGTTCAACTTCTGACCCGTGTCTTCGAGAAACGGAGAAGGATACGTTTCCGACGTAGAATTTCCGTTGCGGTAAAACGCTATCGATTCGAAAGTATGCACGACGACAGGAAGTAGTCACCTGACGACATGAAACGTCCGTGAAGAAGAAACGTAAGTAATACCTTCTGACGATCTCGTTTCTTCAAACTTAACTATCTATCATTACGATTTCAACACGAGACTGATATATCATCGTTGTCATCAAATTTGGAATGGAAATTCAATTTATAACTTTGAATTTTTAGGTTAGATCAAAGGAAATTATTTTATATTATGATTTTGAGATAAGTTAAGCGTCTAATGATCAATTTTTATGATTATTTTATTTTTATTTTTTATTTCGAGAAAAAAAAAAGAAAACAAAATTTATTTGTTCTTTGAATTTTTTTATCATATTTTTTGATCGATTCGTTAAAATGAAATCGATGGTTGGTGAAAAATTCTAACCGAGGTTGATCGTATAAATTATTATATAGGCCAAAAAACGAGTGCTGTCCCGGCACCATTAGAAATTGGTCTCACGCCCGGGGGAAAAACGAAAGGAAGTGAGGAAAGGGGAAAAGAAATAAAGGAAAATGGTCTCGCGTCTCTCGGTATCCACGTCGCGTACCGTTCGCCTTTTGAGAATTCATAAATATTCGAGAAGAGAAAGGGGAGAGATGTATATCGTCGGGGAATTTCTTTACAATATTCCGACGTGACATGCGAAAAAGAGACACTCGGTCGACGTAAACGTTATTTATTGGAAAACTTTCCTTCGCATCTAACCTCTATCCGGTTGCAATTTCGTCTTCTCTATCTTCTTTCAGTCAAAACTACCGAAATATAGTATACAAAATATCACAAAAATATATTCTATCAATTCTCTTATTCGTGAATTAATCTTTTCTTTATCTATTTTTTCGAATTATCGGTTTTAATACCTTGATTAATATTCTAATTTCATACGCAAAATGAATATATAATATACTAGAAGTATATTAAAATTCAAAGGCTGGTCCATTTTTATCTCCATTAACGAAAACATTTCACAAAAAACACACTGTGTAAATGAATATTCTTTAATGGAATTATAAAGGCCTATTTAGGGATTAGAAAACGTGGTAAGATGATAATCGTTAAGATTAGGTACACCATTCTAAAAAAAAAAAAAGAACTTATGAAATAAAAGAACATAACTGATGCTTATAAATGTTCAAAGACAGTGGCTCCATCTTGAATGTATCCTTGTATCTTTCCGTTACAAACAACCTAGAATTCTTTTCCAATCCACTCTTCCGTGTCGGCAACTACATCCATGGAACTAAAAGTCACTTCTCGTAATATTCCTGGTTCTCTCATTCAGGCTGCTTCGAGGCAACATTAATTTTCCTTAGAGGAAAACGTTGTTCCTCTAATTCTCATTTTCATCGTGAAAACGTTCGTTATGTTATCTCTTAACGCTCGAGATACAAGCTGAATGTAATTAAATTAAATAATTTGTATCTATAATAGATTGAAATTTATCTAATTTATCTAATTTATTTAATTTATTCAACTAGTAGAATTAAAAATGATTGCGAGCTCTGAAAACTATCAGGTTCCTACCCGTTAAAAAATTCATAATAAATTCAATGATTATACACATATACTGCACGTTTCCCGTTTGAACATATCGAACGGAAATCGCTCGTGCGCGTGCGCATTTTATGAAAATTCGTACGAGAAGTGAAACGCGAGAGTAGACTCATTCGTAATCTTTTCAATAATAAATAACTTCGCAAGAGATGATCGAATAAATATTTTCATATCTAACTTATATATTTTACAAATATACTTTCGTGCAACTATTATGTATGTTTTTTTATTAGCAGTGAAAGAGCAATCACGAAAAACGATTCGTATAACATAACGGAATCATTATGAAATTATAACTTTATTATGTGATATAGAAATGAATATTCTTTTTAAAAAAAACATGCGATGAAAAAATGTTTTTAAGAATTGTAAAAGTTATTTCTTTTTAATTGAAAAATGTAGAATCTAATAAATGGAATGGATTGTTTAAATTGAGAATCTAATGATAATAATAAAATAAAAATAATTAGTAAATACGTGAAGAAAATATCGATAAATGTCTTCGTAACTTTATCGATTTGTGATTTATCTCTGATTTTCTTCATGACCGATAATCGCTATAGAGTGAATGTTTCGAAGAATAGTTATTTTCTTGATATTATTATTAATGTTAGTACTAATAAATGTGGAATGATGATTTCGATAAAATAATGTATAACTTGATCTTGCAAGAGACGATATATTTCGAATGTACAACAAAATATCGTTTGAAAGGATAAGCTATGAGAATCAAAGAAGAAGGGAACAACTTTACCGACTTGATTGTATTTTAAACAGATGGAGATACTTGGACAGAAATCTCTCCAGATTCTGCGAATTTTTCAAATATACACGTGCTCTTTTTCGCTTTGTAATATCAGAAATTAAATCGAACTCAAATCTCGAAATTTAACTTTCGATCATCTTCTGAAAAATTACAATATTCAGAGTCAGATAAAATTTTTAAAATAAAATTTAACAATATATTAATTAAGAATTTAAATGCATAGAATCATTTTTTCTGAATGAGGAAACAGGAAAAGGAATTATAACGAGGAGTGGATTAAAATCGTATCTTTTGTATAATAGATACCGTGTATTATATAAAATCTCATTGTTACAATGCACGTAATTGAACATCCGCCATGTTTTCCGATCCCATCCAACGGAAATTCCGATTTTCTTCTCCTTTTCCCAATGTTAGAGTGCAACAGGTGCACAGGCGCAATACAACGAAGGAAAGAAGAACAATTAATCCGAACTAAAGTCGGTTAATGAATAATATTCTATTTCTCTCTTTGTGTATCTTATGATATTGCACACTTATTAAATCAATAGCACGCAGAACGGGAACGAAAAAATCGGATAATGTATTTATAATTGTTACTTTTAATTAATAATGTAATTGTTACTTTTTTGGATAAAATATTTTTATTTTGTTGTTAATTAAAAACGAAGAACAAACGATTATTTTATCGTATTTTTTCAATCAATTTAGTACTGATTTATTGTAGAATAAAGAATGCATGACTCTACAAACCTAACCTCTGTCAAAGTTACTGCTCATCAAAATAGCCTATCAAGTGAGTAAGGATATTTTTGCGTCTTCGTTAACAATTATTTCATCAAACTATCATTATTACTTTCTTAAATATATCTCATGGAAGGAAGAAATGGGATTGTATCCGATTTTCTCGAAACATATAGGTACTACACAATCGACATAAAAGCACGAATCCACTCACACCTATTAAATATCACATGGTATGACCATCTGTTTATTTACACGGGAGACTAGCTTAAGGTAATTCCATAACGCGGCGACGAGAATGTCGCCAAATAATCCTCGAATATTTCCTTTTTTTATAGTACAACCAATTCACCCAGTATTATCGATCGAAACAATCTTCCCGTTATATTTTCAACAACACGAACACCTAAAGAAAAAAAAAATATCTCGTTTCACTTTTCGTGTTGTCAAAAATATTAAATTCGAACGATAACTCCAGGTATTCCTATAAATTTCCTATATACAAAAACATCGAATACTCATACAATGATATACAACTTATATACAATGAGAATACGATATAAAACTTCGACAAAAAATATAAAAAATTCTTTGTTAAAATTTGATCATTGCGCAAAAAAAATTCTAATTTATTTAATTAAAACTAGACTTTTGTAGATATGTGTTTTTAAATTAAAAAAAAAAAAGGGAAATTTTTTTAAAAACTCTACGTCGATCTTTACGCATACCTAATCCTTATGTACAAAACGTGAGACAATAACATTTATTAACCGATCTCGATCTCGGCTAGTGAACTGATGGGCGTTGCGGTTAGAGGCAACGTGAGATCGCACGATTCTCCTCTTGTTTGCGAGTTGGATCATCCGACTGGTCATCATCTGTGCGGGCAATTGGGTACGTGCGGGAACAGATGGCAGTGAATCGACCTGAATCTGTAATTAGAACAATATCGACACGTCGAGGCGCGAATATCTCGTTGTTAGTGGAGCACTGTCGTACGTTGGTAATTTGTGAACTGTTTGTGTGAAATATATATTAATCGTAGCATGGAAGATTATATTAGGTTAGGTTAGATTAAGCGGAGAAATTGGGAAGGAATTGATGGAAGAGAAATGAAAGTTAGGAAATCGAAATATTAATTTGTATTAAAACTAAAATAAATTTTGAGTAAATTCAGAGAAAGAAAATCGAAGATTTTCTGAAAATAAAATAAATATTCTTGGAACAGTAAAAGTTAAAATTAATTACAGAGAAATTTTTGCTGTGACAATATCGTAAAGTTAAAATATGATATTGAAAATATATTCACCGATATAAAAAAATTAATAATTTCCATCCCAATTTCCTCTCATTCTCCAGAATCCCATTTTCGAGAAAATTTACAAGGAATCGATAATTCCAGGTAAAACGAACCAGACTCTCTCCTTTTTTCGAGCAACCGATACTTTCCAGAAAAGTATCTCGTTAATATTCATAGAAACGGAAGTTGGCCTGTCTCTCTGTGGAACTGATGCTCGCGTGTCGAGAATAAAACCGAGAGGAGGAAGAAAAATGAAAAAATAGCGCGGACAGGAAGGAACGGTGAAAAGAGGGAAACGTAAAAGGCCGAGTAGTAATTATAATAAAGTCAATTAAGAGCGGCGTGGCATCTTTGTCATTAACCTTCGCCACTCTTCCGCTCTCGCTCCCTTTTCCTCGCGGACAGAGCAATTACCAGAGCGATTCGAGCTTCTGGAGACGGTAAAAGAAGAAACCTGAGGAAAACGAAGCGGATAGTTAATACTTGGAATGGAAAAGGACAGAAGGAGGAAGATACCGTGCAACACGTAGCTCTTCGCTCTGCTAATTACTCTTTCTCCATCACTACTTATTGTGCCTCATACGATGATAAAAAGGATAGATTAGTTTCGTGGAAGTTCGACATTTTTCTTGCATCAAGGTGTTTGGAAAATGGAGAAAATATACGTACGGATTGATTATTTTTTAATTAGGATTTTAAAATAGGATTTAGAGTGATTGTATTAATAAATATTGATAAATATATAGTATTGGAAAAAATATACTATAAAACTAAAAATTTTTAAGATATTGAAGAATTCTATTTATTCATATAGAGTTGTAATTATCGATTATCGATATTGATAATTTTTTTGATATATCAAGATATCTTTTCTTATTCAAAGTTATTATTAAAATACTTATTATTTAATAAATTTCAAAAAATAATCTATTTCAACCATTTAATATTTTATCGATTTCGAATATACCCAACGGTAATAAGAAAGAGAAAAAGGGTTAAAAAAAATTTAAATTCCAATTATCAATCGTTATCGATCTGCTAACTTATATTATCGATATACCGATAGAATCGCAACTCCAGCCAATAATTCTTTCAAGTTTTGACAATAAAATATCAACAATACGCACCTTTTCGGATCATCCTTCATGTCGAAGCCGTCGATCTTGAGAATATTCCACTCGTCCCTCGGACCTTTCGAATAGCTGAACGAAACCTGGAACAAAAAATGGAGGATGGAATGTGAGAAATAATTTCGCTCGTAGTTAATCGATTATTATCGCCTCGGATTACGGATTCGATATCGGTGTTGAGGCTATTGCGCAGGAAGAAACGTGCACGGTCGTTGGAAAGTAACGCGATATCGTTTATTTTCGCATACCACGAGTCTCGGGGCAACACGATCGTGGCATGATCGCGTGAAACGCGAGACCGATCGAGTTCTGCCAACCAAACGAAAAATATTTGTTCTCCAAGCGTTTTCGAGCTTCGTGCTTACCTCGAAATGACGAAAAGTTTCATACTCGTTTTATACCGCGTCAGATATTCCACAATATCTCTCGCAGAACTCGATCGAACGTGCACGTGTTTCAAATAATATGAGCCTGTTATTTAATTCGTTGTTATATAAAATGACGAGTCAGATGAGCACGACAAGGCCAATTAACTCAAAATTTTCGGTCAATTAATTAGACAATTGTTTTTGTGATGGGGACACTCGTATCACGGTTACAATCGTCGTTCAATTATTATCATTATTATCACGAGTGTTAGAGAATATTTTTCTCGGCTAATTCAAGTTGTTCAATAAATAACTAGCACTTGAAATAAAATGATATTTCATAAAAGCATGGCGCGTAAGAGGAAAAATATATATGTGTGTGTGTGTATGTGTGGGATTATCAACGGTAGAATCTTGGAATTGCAGGTTGCAGCAGTTACGGGTGGTGAACGACACCTGGTGCACGTTGACGATCACCTGCTTGGTGGTGCACCACCGAGAGCAACAAACGAGGAAAGCAGCAACAATCGAATCAATTGGTCATTGTTCGAGTTCGAGCGAGGAAAGAGACCGGCATTCACCGGTGATTCATCGCGGGGATTATTCCATTACCCGCGATTAGACTTCACACTGCGACCCGTACGATCTTAATTTCCCCTCTTCCCCCTCTCTCCACCTTTCATTCGTCGATTTTTTTAATCCACCGCCTCCTACCGGATCAATTAATCAATCGTTGCTGGAGCCGAGATTGAGCTTGGAATGCTGCGTATCATTCGATTTCACGATCGATTTTCGTGGAATTGTCGATGTAATTGGAATTAAATAAAAAAAAAAGGATCGAAGAATTGCGAGGAATTGTGAAATTGCGTAAAAAAAGTGAAATTTTAATGATATAATGGAATTAAATAACAGGGATCGAAAAATTAGGAAAAATTGAAGAATTGTGGAATTGCGTATTTTTAAAGGATAACGTGTCTCTCGAAATGTTTAAATTTGAGAGCGTGGAATTGTTAGTATTATGGAATTAAATAAAGAGGATCGAAGAATTACGGGGAATTGTGGAATTGCATTAAAAAAGTGAAATTTTAATGATATAATGGAATTGAATAACAGGGATCGAAAAATTAGAAAGAATTGAGGAATTGTGGAATTGCGTATTTTTAAAGGATAACGTGTCTCTCGAAATGTTTGNAATTTGAGAGCGTGGAATTGTTAGTATTATGGAATTAAATAAAGAGGATCGAAGAATTACGAGGAATTGCATTAAAAAAAAGTGAAATTTTAATGGTATAATGGAATTGAATAACAGGGATCGAAAAATTAGCAAGAATTGAGGAATTGTGGAATTGCGTATTTTTAAAGGATAACGTGTCTCTCGAAATGTTTGAATTTGAGAGCGTGGAATTGTTAGTATTATGGAATTAAATAAAGAGGATCGAAGAATTACGAGAAATTGTGGAATTGCATTAAAAAAAAAGTGAAATTTTAATGGTATAATGGAATTGAACAGGGATCGAAAAATTAGGAAGAATTGAGGAATTGTGGAATTGCGTGTTTTTAAAGGATAATATGTCTCTCGAAATGTTTGAATTTGAAATCATGGAATTGCGTAAAAAAAGTGAAATTTTAATGGTATAATGGAATTGAATAACAGGGATCGAAAAATTAGCAAGAATTGAGGAATTGTGGAATTGCGTATTTTTAAAGGATAACGTGTCTCTCAAAATGTTTAAATTTGAGAGCGTGGAATTGTTAGTATTATGTAATTAAATAAAGAGGATTGAAGGAATTGTGGAATTGCATAAAAAAGGAATCATTGAAAACATGACGGAATTAAATAACAGAGATCGAAAAATCAGGAATTGCATACTTTTGTAGGATATTTTTTTCGAAATATTCGAATTTCGAGAAAGATGATGGAATTGTTAGAATCGAAGAATTAAGAAGGAATTGAGGAATTGAACATGGAATCGTAGAATTGTCGATACGATTGAATTAAATAAACAGTTATTATAATTGGGGTTTTGGAATTATTATAATTGTGGAATTGCATAAAATTTCATAATTTTGGAGAGTAACGTGTCTTTCGAAACTGAACAATTATCTCGTAATTTCAGAATAAAATTAAAAAACATACTTGCTCGTCGAAAGTGTCTTTGTTGAGGAACTTCATGGGCTCCAGATGGGAATGGAATTGCTCGACGACGGTTAATTGCTTCTTGAGCAAGTGTTCGATAATGTATCCCATCGTCACGTCATCCGGCAGTCTAATTCTGTCGCCCACAGTAATGAACTTTCCACCTCTGAAAGCAAACACATATGTTATTTCTCATCCACCATTTCTATCGATTATCAATTATACGAAACATTCAAGAAAATTTTCACGAATTGCTCATTCGATAATTCATATCACTACTTTACCATTATTCCCTAGGAAATAAAAATAATCGATTCTCTAAAATTATCTTAAGAATTTAAAAATGTATCACGCTTTCCCAGCAAGATTTAGAACAAAATTCTCGCCAATCGCTCGTTCGATAACTCGTGCGCCACTACCTTACCATCACTCCCAATTCCTCACGAAATAAAAATAACCTAAAAATTTCACTAGAATTCTCCCACGAATTTAAAAATATATTTTCCACTTTTTTCAAGATTTAAATGTCTCTTACTACGAATCCTTTAGCGATTCATGGCGCATTTCCAGTAAAATAAACTACGTCCCCGATTTATTCGCGAAATCTTGGATCGAGGAAATGAATTAACCCCATAAATTTCATCTAACCCGGAGCGAGCAACGTGTTCCAGCGAATCACGGGACGTTTTCTCGTCCTTTTTCGCGCGATTTTGTCGTGAACTTTCCTATGGACCGCGCCCACCTCGTGGACTAGGATTATCCGGTGTTTATTACCGTCGCGCTTCGGGTGGTCGTGAGGGAGAGGAGAAGGGCGGAAGGGGAAGGAAGCCGATAAATTCCGCGCCCCCGCGTAAAGTCTGGGTGTCCAGGAAACTATTGCGAATATTATTTATGATTATTACGTTATATATGGAAACGTATATAACACACGTTTATATGGATATATATGGGTATCGTGCAAATGATGAAAAGAGGTTAGGTTGGGTTAGGTTGTGGCCTCGTCTTAAGAAATGAAACGTTCCAAGAATTTTTCAATTGGATGGTCTATCGGTCTATGAGAAACGGAAGAGAGGGGGGGAAGAGCGAATGATAACGATGGCGTGACTGCAAGCTGAGCGAACGATAGGCTGATCGTCGATGAGAGCGAAAGTTAGAAAGAGAGAAAGAAGACAAGAGAACTCGAAGAAATTTTATTACTTACTATGATACTAAAAATTCGATAATTCATTGAAATCTTGCAAATAAATCGATAAAAGGATTTTTGCTTAAACAAAATAAACAGTCCATCAACGTAAATCATATCCTTTGAAAATAATTTTTGTACGATCGATAATCAAGTATTAATTGATTCGTCAAAAAATAATAGATATAAATACTCGAAGATATTTTCGAGTTAAATTAAATATACAATTATAAAATATAAATACACGGATTTTTTAAATAAATAAAAAAAATCCATTAGTCGCAATTCCAACTAACCAAAAACTTATTCGAGCTTATTTACATCCACGCCTTGCCAATAAAAATGCAATCGAATGAAAAGCGGCTGATATTCGAGATCATCGATCTT